TATCCATGGTTATTTATCTTTCTATGGGAATGTTTTTATGCTCTCTTTTATCTATTGTTTTGTACTTTATACAAACTTGTTGTCACTCTAGACTATTTAAAGAAAAACCAATCAGAGATGGAACTTTTAAAACAGGATTATTGGTCATAAGAAATATTAACAAGTTGCATGGCATTACAAAAAAAAAATAAATATGCTATTTGTTTATTGATTTTAATTCCAAACTGTATTATTATCTCATGTAATAAACTCTATCTCTTTTGAAATAATCAAGACAAAGAAAACTTTGGTTGACCAAGAGAAAAAAATCTTGTTTTTGAGATTGTTTGAAACAACTACATGTTGTACTCCTTAAGAGCTTTTTCACTACTTGCTAATGCACTCGAAACACCTTTGACAAATTGAAGTGCAATTGTAATATATGGACTAAGGAAAGATAACAATACTATAATAATGATCAAAAGTAGTGCAACACCAATGATTACTAAAACTGTTACCACTTGTTGAAGCGTAATTCCAGAAAATATTTTTGGAAAATAAATCACTGCCCATTCTATAAATTCAACAAATGTTGTCCACAAATTGAGAATAAAGTTAATAAACTTCTCTGCAGTGCTAATCAAAAAGTTCAGAATTTTCTCCATTAATTTTGGAATGGAGCTGAAAATATCTGCAATGTTTGGAATAACTCCTCCAAAAAGGTCAATAAAACCTGTTCCTAAGGATTCAATAACATTACCAATTGAACTACCTATAGATGCTGCACCAGATGCCATATCACCAATTAAATCCCAACCTTCCACAAGAACATCCCAAAAAGAGGCACCTCTACGTGAGTCACCACAATTCTTGTCAGGAACAACACTACTACAATCATAATCCATATAACCCTGATAACATTTACATGTATCAACTGCTATACAATCACCATGTCCAGAACATACTTCTTTCTTGTCTCCTGAAATATCGAAACATTTTGGAAAGCCACACATGAAACCACCCCAATTCGGTTGACAGATACACTTATTTGGTCCCAAACACAATCCACGACCACTACACACAGCTCCTTCTACATTAATGTGAGTGGATAAAATGCTATTACAACTTAAAGTGCCACAGAATGCATCTCCATAACCAGAAAAACATTCACACTTATCAAAATCGACACAAACACCACTTGAATTGCACACGTTTGGATCTGTGGCAACAATTCCATTACATGTTGGTGTTGCACATAGTTTTCCACCCCATGAATTGCACCTACATTCATCATTCTCAATACAAATACCCCTCGAGTTACATACTGTTGGATCTGTGGCTAAAGTTCCATTACATGTTGGAATGGTACAAAATTCACCTCCCCAATCTCTATAACAATTACACTTATCTGGTGCAACACACACTCCAAAACCATTACATACAGTTAGGTCAGTAGCCGATGTTCCATTACATGTTGGTGTTGAACATAATGGACCAGTCCAACCTTTCTCACATTTGCATCGATTAAGATCAATACACTTTCCATTTCCACTACATGCATTACTCTTTGCGATACACACTTCATTCTCATCAAATGCAAGAATTCCATTACATGATGGTATTGTACATAGTTTACCACCCCAACCTGAGAGACATTTACATTGATTTGGACCAACACATACTCCCAATGAATTACACACATTTGAATCAGTTGCTAAAGTTCCATTACAAAATGGAATTTCACAAAATTGACCTCCCCACATTTCATTACATTGACATTGATTTTCATTGACACATTTTCCTCTAGAGTTGCAAACTGCCTCATTGCTAGCCAATATACCTTGACATTTAGGTATTTCACATTGTTTACCACCCCAATTTAAATTACAATTGCATTGATTTGGACTAGTACATTCACCATGTCCACTACACACCAATGTATTATTGCTAACTATAGTTCCATTACTATCAGTATTGGTAGTAGCATTGGTAGATAGAATATTATTACAAATTGGTGTGGAACAATCTTCACCTCCCCAACCAGTTAAACAGATACAAAGATTGGCACCAATACAATCACCCTTTCTACTACAAACAGATATATTAGTGGAAATTATACCACTACATA